TCGTCTTTCTTGTTTATCGAGTGTTAAACGAAGGCAAAGAACGTTGCTACCGCCAGAATTTTTTGCCAATTTTGTACTTACCATGAAGTAAGAGTAAAGAGACTTAACTAGATAGGATGTGGAGAAAAAAGTTGGTCACGAAAAATGTTCCGTGTACTGCCATGTCCGCCGAACGGAATAACTTGCAACATTTCATCGCCATATTGAATATTTATATGTGTGCAGTATACTTGCGACTGTGTACACGTATGTGTACACATATACATAATATATATATCGAATCGTGATGACAGATATCTTAACCTGTAAAGTCTCGAACTTTAACGCTTAATAACTCGGTTCACCGTTTTATACGTTTAAGACACGTATTTGTCTTCTAAAAGGTAGAGTATAGCTTGCTCTCCTAAAATTTTAATAAAATTATACTCATTCGTCGCGTTTTCACTCAGAACGAAAGAATCTATAAGAAAAATGCCGGGATCGGCCTTGTGAACCGAGTTATTAAGCGTTAAAGTTCGAGACTTTACAGATTAAGATATCTGTCATCCCGATTCGATATATATTATGTATATGTGTACACATACGTGTACACAGTCGCAAGTATACTGCACACATATAAATATTCAATATGGCGATGAAATGTTGCAAGTTATTCCGTTCGGCAGACATAGCAGTACACGGAACATTTTTCGTGACCACCTTCAGTCTACACAGTCTCCTTACTCTTACTTTATGGTACTTACATAAAGCGTTGAACAACTAGAGGTGCGTTCCGTTATTCACTGCAAGTACTGAAAATTTATAGTATACGTAACGCGAACTATAAATTTTCAGTACTTGCAGTGAATAACGGAACGCAGCCTTTAGTACAATTAAAGCTATATCTACACAAACTTGGGCTGCGTTCCGTTCCAGGATATGCGCGCATTTTATATAGTGAGTGACTTATACAATACACTATAGGAGAATGCGCGCATATGCGTGAAACCATAGAGATATAAGAATAGAGGGAGCGAGTCGTATGCTAGCACGTAAGAGGCGGCGATATAGCGATAGAAAGAGAACGCTGCATAAGGGCCCCTCTGTCTTTGTCTATACGCACATGCGCTTTTGCGCTGCTCATTGTCTATAACGCACTTCTATAACGCATTTAGGTTCTAACCTCTTGAACAGTTTATAAAATATATATTTGAAATGACTTATGACATATAATTTATTATTAAATATATACTTAATTAAATTATGAGGTTAGAAATATTAATATGTACTTACAAGTGAAAACTACGATTGGAAATAGGAGATGCTTCTATTTTGCATATCAAGCATTTTTTTGTCATCTTAGTAATCAATCAAGAGACACTAGCGTCTCGCGCTAATTGTAAAAGATACACAATTGCAGAGATTATAGAGAATATCTCTATGGCAGAGATACACAATTTTCCACGATGTACTACACATGCGCACATAAACAAAGACAGAGGGGCCCTTATGCAATGTTCTCTTTCTATCGCTATATCGCTCTTTCAGCTCGTTCGCTCCCTCTATTCTTATATCTCTATGCGTGAAACGAAACGTTTATGCAGCTATGCCTTGCATAGCTGCATAAACGAATGCATAAAGAAAATTATCCAATCGCATTTCCCTTATAGAGATGCACGTAAAATGCGATTGGATAATTTTCATTATGCATACGTTTATGCGGTTATGCAAGTTTGTGTGGATATAGCTTAATGGTTGCGTTCTTCAACATTTTTTAATTTGATTGCTTTTTGCCCTTTTTTAATTAAAATTTTTCTCATAATTTTAAACAAATTAAAACGTTTATCAGAAATACTGACAAAATCTAATCTTTTCTTATTATTAGAAGTTTTCATATATATAAATTTCTAAAATAGGTCGGGAAACCTAGAGTCCTAGATATCAGAGAAGCGCTACCGGTTTAAATCAGTATCGCAAAATTACTAAGAAAAGTATTAAAAATGGCGTCGTTTGCAGACGAAATATGAAATCCGCCAATCGTCTATTATAGTAGGGGAGGCCGAGAGGCTAAATGTGGATTTACTCGAGCGTCGTGGGGACCTATTGGATTGTGGAGATTAGATGCTAAAAAGAAAAAAAGGTTATATGATGTATGCCGTTTCAGTGGTGGGGGAAGCGTGTACATTTCAAAGAAAACAGTGACAATGAAATACTCGAGCGTGTTAGATATTAATAGTGTAAGCGACCCATGTGTTTCTGATAACGGATAAATATTAATCTGACGGTTTGCGTGGTGAGGTTAGCTGTAGGAAGGGGTAAAAAAAGGGGGAAAAAAAAATTTCCTCGAGCGCGTCAGATTTTTGAAATCTACACTTTTTTACATGTAATTAACACACCATACCTTAATCTGACGCGCTCGAGTTTTCGAACGATCGATTTTTTTTATTTACTAATCCCCTGGATCCCCGGCTCTATATAGAGGTTTAATATTTAGTGGGGTACTTATTAGGGTGTAAGCTTTCCCCCTTTATGTTATTCTGACGCGCTCGAGTAAATCCCAAAATCCCCGCTTGGCCACCCCTACTATTAGTCAGCCATTTTTAATACCACTGAATGAATGTCATGATTGGCTGACAGTCAGCTAATCAGGATGCGGAACATCGGTTGCGCTTCTCTGATATCTAGGACTCTACATAACCGAGCATTCTGTTCTTAGCTTGAAGCCGGAAGTTGGCAGTTTAACTAGACCCGTTGCATCTCTTTCTACCTTGAGAGAAAAAGAGAAGCGCTCTTGACAGTCGCAAGTGTAAATAAACAGGTCAGAAAGTGCGATCATAAACATATGAGATAAAATTATTTTATTTTGAAATAATTTTGAAAATATATCAAAGGAGGAGGGTCAATAAGGCTGATTTTTGGGTTGAAATGTCGCACTTTTTCCATTGCATTTTTGAATAGTAGATATCAAGAGCTTCCCAAAACACCCTATTTAAACCCTTTTTCGTTGGGGTAAACGATAGTTACGATCGATCAAAGTTAGAGTAATATTGCTAAATGGGAATTATAAATTTACTCTATCAAATCTTTAAGAAATAAAAAATTTCTTAAGATGCTCGTTATTATGAGTTTACGAGGGTTGCTGATCACGAATCAAACATCAGTTTACAAAGATTCAATATGGCGGATGCAAAATGGCGGACGACTTTTTTCAAAATCAATCCAATTCGCATGAAACTTGTTAATTGGGGGTTCATAGGATCGCTGATCACGAATTATACATCAGTTATGAACAATTTAATATATCGAATGCAAAATGGCGGACGATTTTTCTAAATATGAATTCAATTCCTATGAAGCTCGTTACTCGAGGTTTTCTATGATCGCTGATCACGAAGTTGATGCCGGATTTGCAATATAAAATATAAAATATTGAATATAAAATAAAATATAAAATAAAAAATAA